CATAGGAGTGTGAACCTTATTGTGAACTGTGCATGTGAGGAATCTGGGTTATGGGCTCCTTTTGAGAATCTAATGCCTGATGATCTATCACTATCACCCGTCACCCCCAGATGGGACTGTCTAGTTACAGGAAAACAAGCTCAGGGCTCCCACTGATTCTACGTTATGGTGAGTTATATAATTATTTCATTATGTATTGTAGTATAATAATAATAGAAATAAAGTGCACAATAAATACAATGTGCTGGGATCATCCTGAAACCACCTTGCCCCCAGTCAGTGGAAAAATTGTCTTCCATGAAACTGGTCCCTGGTGCCAAAAAGATTGGGGACAGCTGATTTAGAGTACTGTTACATCTCTTTTCACCCTCCTTCTCCTGTATCCCTAAGGCAGTAATAGACACTAAATAATATGTTTTGAGTTGAGTGTTTTATGTTTTGTGTGTGTCTGTGGTTTTGTTGTTGTTGTTGTTTGTTTTGGTTTCACTCTGTCACCCAGGCTGGAGTGCAGTGGCACCATCTCGGCTCACTGCATCCTCTGCCTCCCAGGTTCAAGCGATTCTCCTGCCTTAGCCTCCGGGGTAGCTGGGACTACAGGTACCTACCTGCCACCAGGCCCGGCTAATTTTTTTTTTTTTTTTTTTTTTGTATTTTTAGTAGAGACGAGGTTTCACCATATTGGCCAGGCTGGTCTTGAACTCCTGACCTTGTGGTCTGCCCACCTCAGCCTCCCAAAGTGTTGGGATTACAGGCATGAGCCACTGCACCCAGCCGTGTTTTTATGTTTAATCTCCAAGCTGGCAAGTATGTTATCATTTCCGTTATGTAGTTAATACTAATTGGACATCTTTAGCATTTTGAGAATATATGAAAATCAGATTCTCTTGTTTTTCAGAGTTTACTATCCCAAAGAAAAGGTAGACAATTGTACTTTAAATTGTTACTGCATTCTAAATCAAATCTGTTTTGTTTTCAGTGTTACTAATTATATTTTAGTAGGTATCAATTAATCAAAAAAGTAGTGGATTTTACCTTCTATTTTTATTTATTTATTTATTTTTTGAGACAGAGTCTCACACTGTCACCCAGGCTGGAGTGCAGTGGTGTGATCTTGGTGCACTGCAACCTCCGCCTCCCAGGTTCAAGCAATTCTCCTGCCTCAGCCTCCTGAGTAGCTGGGATTACAGGTGTGCACCACCCAGCCTGGCTAATTTTTTGTATTTTTAATAGAGACAGGATTTCCCCATGTTGGCCAGGCTGGTCTCAAACTTCTGACTTCAGTTGATCTGCCCACATCCCTCTCCCAAAATTCTGGAATTACCAGCGTGAGCCACCGCACCCAGCCCCTATTTTACCTTTACATTAAGCATGTAGCTTATCCCTAAGTGTGTTTACCCCCCAACCAGAGGATTTTTATGCTTGAAAATATTTCTGATTTCAAGATGGTATCCCCCTACTTTATTTCATAATTTTGCATATGACGCAATAAATTGATTGGTTGGACAATGTTGCCAATGAAACCAATGTCATTTTTAATCTCCATATAAATTGGTTAACTTTGTTTTCATTCATTTAGCAATCTCTTTTGAGTGGCTACTGTGTGCCAGACATGGTGCAAAGTGCTGGGTAAAAAGTGCTGAGCAAACCAAACATGACCCCCTAAGACTAGGAACCGTGCAAGATGAGCTCTCTCAACACTCCTATTCAAGACCAGAGTGGAAGTCCCAGCCAATGCAATCAAGCAAGCAAAAGAAATAAAAGGCATATACAGTGGAAAGAAAGAAGTAATCTTTTAGTTCACAGATGATGTGATAGTTTGCATAGAAAAATCACAAAGCTTCAACAAGAACACTACCAGAACTAATATATGAGCTTAGCAAGGCCACAGGATACAGTCTCGTCTCATTTAATCTTCAAAGTAATCCTATGAATTTGCTACTTTTACTTTTTGAGGGGAGGGAGATAGGAAAACAGAAGCATAAACACAAAGGTGAAGTAAACCGTCTTAGATCTCACAACTAACAAGCAGCACAGTTGGTACTTCAACCCAGATATACATGACAAAAAATGTTAATCACCGTGCCAGGGCATTTTAAATTTAGTATGCTTAAAATGCAAAGTCTCAGCCCTTACCCAGAGATTGTGATTCACATGGTGGAATAGGGGTAAGTCCTGGGAAGCTGTGTGTTCACAAGCACCCTGGGAGATTCTGATGCAAGTTGTACAAAGAACCTCCCATTGTATGGACTATATAATCCCTGTGCATGTACGGTATTCTGTATGCATATACTATTTCACATGGTACCTCTAACCCAGGAGAAACGATCTCTCAGTCGAAGCTCAATGTGATAGAAACGAAACCAACCTTTTTCTGGTCTCATCGGTGGATTTAAAGAGAAGCTAAACAAACCTAGAAGGGCTGGTAGAATCCACAGCTGAGATGGCAAGGAAGAAAAGACATTTCCAAGGGCTGATCCCTCTGCAAGGCCCACAGATGAGTTCTTGAGTGCAAGTTTTTTTTTTTTTTTTTTTTTTTTTTCCCTGAGATGGAGTCTTGCTCTGTCACCCAGGCTGGAATGCAGTGGCGCGATCTTGGCTCGCTGCAACCGCCACCTCCTGTGTTCAAGCAATGCTCCGGCCTCAGCCTCCCAAGTAGCCAGGATTACAGGCGGCCACTACTGTGCCTGGCTAATTGAGTGTAAGTTCTATGCAGAGAACCTTGCAGAGAATTTCACAGCCTACTGCAGTGGAGGGGCATTCCAGCAGAAGCCAAAACACTGGTGGTCTAGAGAGAAAGGGAACTTGAAGAGGGAGTTCAGGGGTTCAGCAAGGGTACTGGGGGATAAGACTATGGAACTGTGTATTTAGAGCTCAGATAGCTAGTGAAGGATCCATAAGGATGAGGGAGGGGCCAGGTGCAGTGACTTATGGCTATAATCTCAGCAATTTGGGAGGCGAAGCTGGGAGGATCGCTTGAGCTCAGGAGTTTGAGATCAACCTGGGCAATATAGTGAAACCCTATCTCTATTTTTAAAAATTAAAAAAAGGATATTAAACAAAAAGATGAGGGAGGGATTGGAGTGTGCATTGCCCATTTTATTTTATTTTTTAATCATAATTATTAGCTATTCCTGGATTGAGCATTTTCCATGTGCCAGGAATGTTGTTAGGCACCTCACATGTGCTGTGACGTGCAATCTTCAGAGCAACTCCCCGAGGGAGGGACTGTTCATTATCACCCAGTAATGAATCTGATCAGAGGAGTTGAGCAGACCATGAAAGAGACTCAGGATCACAAAAGAGCAAAGCTGCAAGGAATTTTAGAGATGATTTAGTCCAAGGGTGTATCCTGTGCTTTAAGAAGAGACAGAAAGGACTGGGTGCAGTGGCTCACACCTGTAATCCCAGCACTTCGGGAGGTCTAAGCAGGGGGATCCCTTGAGCCCTGGAGTTCAAGGTTACAGTGAGCTATGATTGTGTCACTGTCCTGTAGCCTGAGCAACAGAATGAGACCCTGTCCAAAGAAAAAGAAAAAAGAAAGGAGAGAGAGAGAAGAAAAGGCAAAGCATTCCTGGAAGGACAGCAGCTATGTGGGTGGTTTCTCAAAAATGAGGAAACGGAATAGTTTGGGACAGGGGCCTGTGCCACAGGCTTTGGAGAAGAGACAGTGGGGTTAGGGCTCCTCAGAGCAGGGGCAAAGTCACCGCTAGAGCAGTGACGGGGGCTGCCTTGATCATAATTGTGCAACTAGCCTCTCTAGGGCACTGCATGGTTTCCAATCTACTTTTCATATCAAGTATAGTAGTTCCTCACACCTCATCTATGAGAAGGTCTCTCAGTTGAATTCTTTTGGTAGAATCTAAGAAAAATCCGCTTAAACTAGCCTAAGCTGAAAAGAGGGATTTATTATGAAGATATAGTATGTTCCACAGAACCCAAGTCAAAGGCAAAGTGGCCTCAGGAAGGAACTGGTACTAGAGACTCAGCTATTGTTAGGACTTGCCCTGCCTCTCTAATTACTATTCCCCCTGACCTCCTGCCTGTTACCTGTTGCTTGTCTGGTCCAGATGGAGGTAGAAAATGCCCAACCAATAGCTTCTCAGCTTAGATATTAGGTCCCTTTTTCCCTTAGGTCTATATGTCAACAAAAGAGACTCTGAGTGGTCCAGCTTGGATCAGGTTCCCATCCTGATGCAATCAGATGAGTCAGGGAATGGGGTCATGTTGTCCATCATGACTCCTGGGTGCCCCAGGGAGAAGTGGCCGAGCAGACAACTTAACAGATGTCTTACCCATGGCAGCCTGCTGTGTAACACAAGTATACATTATCCCATATGTACAAATTTTCAAAGATGCATCTGCCTAACAAGGCTCAACTACTCCAGTGACAATCCCAAATGTACTCTCTCTTTCCCCAACAGAAGACAATTGAACTCAGTAACTCATATCCAGCCACTGTAAGCAATACTGGGGTCCTGGCACCAGGGTTCATAGACAGTGCCATATTTTTCCATATAAGGGAGTATTGACCCCTTTGCCATATAACACGAGGGGCCAGGGCTTAGAAAGTGCATCTATTTGGATACCATTATTTAGCCTATCACAAGTAGCTTCATTAAAAAGGTAAAGCAGGCCAGGCACAGTGGCTCATGCCTGTAATCCTAGCACTCTGGGAGGCCGAGGCAGGCAGATCACCTGAGGTCAGGAGTTCAAGACCAGCCTGGCCAACATGGTGAAACCCCGTCTCTACTAAAAATACAAAAAGTAGCTGGACGTGGTGATGGGCACCTGTAGTCCCAGCTAATCGGGAGGCTGAGGCAGGAGAATCACTTGAACCTGTGAGGCAGGGGTTGCAGTGAGCCGAGACTGCACCATTGCACTCCACCCTGGGTAACAGAGTGAGACTCCATCTCAAAAAAAAAAAAAAAAAAAAAGTAAAACAAAACAGGTGAAATTGATTTTTAATATATTTTGTTTAACCTAATATATCCAAGGCATTATTATTATTGCAACATGTAATCAATATAAAAATATCAATGAGATATCTTACATTTTTTTTTCCGACTAGGTCTTCAAAACCCTGTGTGTCTGCACAGACTTTCTCTTTTGTCTGCATCTCGTGGTGAGTTGTTCTTGCACTGGGGCACAGCTGCACATACCATGGGGTCATGTTCTGCTAGAGGGACCCACCCAGGATCTCTGCTTTCATAGGGAAGGGTGGCTTTCCCCAGGAGAATAAGCACCTTGGGCTCGGCTGCCTGGCACCCTGCAACTCAGTGCCAGATATTCAGAGGCCACGTGCCTGCCCTGGCTCAATCAGTTGGCAAAGACCCTCTCTCTGGCACCCGGAGACCCTGGTCGTGCCTTTTCCCTTGGGAAGTTGAATCCAGGCGCAACCCCTTTCTCTGGCAGTTGTGTGTGTGGAGAGGGTGGCCTGGCAGGGCTGAGTCCTTGCACCTCACTTCCTGTTGCCAGGAAATGGAAACATGGAAAAGTACTCATGGCCGCCCATTGGGCAGATCTGGACTTCTGCACAGTTGAAAATGGTAGAAATAGGATGTTAGGTCTAATTCCAAAACTAGTTCTCTCAGCTACATATTCTTCTGCTCCTTCCCATGGGAAAAGGCACAGCCAGCTTCTCCGAGTGCCAGATAGAGGGCCTTTCCCAACTAAGTGTGAGCCGGGGTGGGCACCTTACCTCTGAACAGCTGGCATCTGGTGCAGGGTGCCTTGTGTGGTCTAGACAGGAGGTAGAAAATGCCCATCCCATAGCATCTGAGCTTAGATATTAGGGCCTTTTCTCCCAGGTCTATTTGTCAGCAAAAGAGAGCCTGAGTCAGGGGATGGGGTCATGTTGCCACCGTGACTACTGGCTTGATAGGTGGTGACCCTACCACCACCTATGGTACCCTGAGACAGGGACTGCTTTGCAAGGCAGTCCCCACTTAGACTGAGGTAGGACAGCAGGCAGGCAGGGGCAGGTCAGGAATCGGGACAAACCAGGATGTGGTCCACATGGCCAAGGTAAAGACAGGAGCTTCAGGAAGAGCCTTCGGGTGTGGCCAGACCTGAGCTGGAGGCCATGGCCGGGCTGCTCACAGACAGACCTGTTTTGGATGGAGATGAACTGTTAAGTTGTTTGTTTTTCAGTGAACTGCTCCACCCGAGAATGTTCCAGTCATGTCTTAAAAGGCTTAGCCCCTCCAGAGAGGGTCTGGTTTCCCTGAGTCAGTGATTTTTGTCGCCTTCTGTCTAAGAATCCTGCCAGTTTGTCTCCAAAAGAGTGTTTGCCCTTGGGGTGGATGGGGGCTCAGCTGGCTCTGGACTGAGACTCAGTCCTCTTAGGCTTTGATTCAGTAACTTTCCAATTCCCTCCCACAGCACTGGGGCCACAGGTGGGCATTTGGCTTAAACCTGACACTAACCCCATTGACTCCAGTCACCAGAGCTGTCTGCACATAACAGGTATCCATGCATGTTGCCAACCAACAGCTCTTATCTTGAGGTGGCTTGACTGTCAACCAGGCCAGGGGAACTGATTGCCGGAGGCCTCATCTCAGAAGCAAAGAAAAGCACCGTGTCCTTGCTCTAGTGTTTTCCAAGGACTCTAGGAAGTGCCTGATATGGTTTGGCTGTGTCCCCACTTAAATCTCATCTTGAATTCCCACATGTTGTGGGAGGGACCTGGTGGGAGGTAATTGAATCATGGGGGCAAGTCTTTCCCGTGCTGTTCTTGTGATAGTGAATAGTCTCACGAGATCTGATAGTTTTATAAAGAGGAGTTCCCCTGCACAAGTTCTCTCTCTTTGCTTGCTGCTATTCATATAAGACATGACTTGCTCCTCCTTGCCTTCCACCATGATTGTGAGGCCTCCTCAGCCATGTGGAACTGTAAGTCCGTTGAACCTCTTTCTTTTGTAAACTGCCCAGTCTCAGGTATATCTTTATCAGCAGCGTGAGAACAGGCTAATACAGTGCCTTTAAAACATGTTTACAGTGATGTTTTCAGTGTGTGCCCACCTCTCTTTGGTGAATCTATGAAGAACATTTAGCACAAGTCTCAACACTTGTGTAGATCAAGAACAAGTTAGATTGGTATCCCAGTTTCCAATTAAAATAACAGCACAAGTTTATTTGGCTTGATTTCCCCAGGGCTTACCCTTTTCCCACAAAATTTCATATATTTAAATATGTACAATCTCCAAAACAGCATAATAGTCATTACAGAGAAGGTTGATAGTGTTTTCTGAACAAAAAGTACAATTTTTGCTACTTTTTAGAGTCAGTCTGGGAGGTGTAATTGGAGGCAGAAATATTTAAGTTCGGGCTGGTCTACTAAAAGATCACAGAACACAGTATTTGAATTGTGCCTGCCCCAAAAGTACATTCAGGTCATTTGATAGTGATCCTGGCATCCATTGAGTCCAACATTCACCCCACCTTTTGTGTGTATCTGGCAGAAGCAGACTCAGTAACAATATAGGAGGCCTAGCCAGTAACATTCTTTCTTGCCATAGTAATCTCTATTTCTTTCTTCTTATTGTTCTTGGAGTCCCAGTGGAGAAGATTGGGCATGAAAGTGAAAAAGCTAAAACGGGTGAAGGGCCAGGAGGAAAGGCAGGATGTGTAAAGTTCCTGGACAAATAATAATTAGTAATAAAAATAAGAACGAGCACAGCAACAGGTAGTACTTATATGCTACGTGCCATACTATGCTGGATGCTTGACAGGGTTACCTCGTTCATTCATCCAATTGATCAGCAGTTACTAATGTGTCAAGCAGCATTCCAGGTACCAAGGGCACAGCAATAAATAAAACAAAGTCCTTGCTCTTGTGGAGTTTGCATTCCAGTAGGGAGATAGACAACTAACAAATACGTACGTAATGCCCAGGAGATGAGTGCTAAGGAGGAAAATAAATCTGAGCATGGGAGAGAGGGGCCCAGAGGGTCCCAGGGGAGGTCACTCTGTTGAGTAGGTATCTATCTGCTTTGCAGGCAGTCAACAACAGGCCCTAAGCCTGGGAAGGGCTTCACAATGCATGGTAGGGGATGAAGGCCATGGGGTAGCTAGGGATCCCAGTGAAATGGAGAAGCCACTAGAGATTGTTGAGCAGGGACATATTTTGAGATTATCTTTGAAGGAATCACTCTGCCTGCTTGGTGGAGAAGAGGCTGGGGAAGGGATGGGAGGAGGCAGGGAGACTGGTTCACAGGCTACTCCAATAGTTGAGGAACAGATGGTGATGGCATGAAGCTTGAGCTAAAACTGGAGGAGGTGAGAAATGGTGGGTTTGGGATCCTCTCTGGAGTTATGACGGTGGCAAAATAGCTGATGGACTTGAATGTGGTATGAGAGCAAGAGAAGAGTCAGGGATGTCATCTAAGTTTTTGGCCGGAGCTCAAACTAGGGGTACCATTTCTAACATGAGTGCCCGACGGAGGAGCTGATCTGGAAATGGAAATCAAGCGTTTGGAGTGGATATACTGCCTTTGTGCTGCTCTCTAGACATCAGGTGGAGATGTCATAGACAGAGCTGAGTGCTAAACTAGTCTGGAGCTCAGAGGGGAGGCTCGAGATTGAGATTTAGGAGCCATCAGCAGAAATGTGGTCCCTGAGGTCAGAGGCCTGGATGACCAACAAAGGAGGGAGACATGAGGTCCAAGAACCAACTTCTCGGTACTCCAAGCTTCACACATAGGAAAGGGGCAGATACTGAGGGGAGTTGAAGGAGGGGAGGAAACCAGAAGAGAGTGCTTATTTTGATAGCAAATGGAGCAAGTGCACTCATAAGCTGAGTATGGTGAGTACTGAGAATTGACCACAGGGTTTAGCAATGTGGATTTCATTCGTCTCAAAACCTTATGTGGTAGACACTGTTATTTTCCTCATCTTTCTCTCTCTCTCTCTTCCTTTCTTTCTTTCTTTCTTTCTTTTTTTTTTTTTTTTTTTTTTTGAGATGGAGTCTCACTCTGTTGCCCAGGCTGGAGTGCAGTGGCATGATCTCAGCTCCCTGCAACCTCCGCCTCCCGGGTGCAAATTCTCCTGCCTCAGACTCCCAAGTAGCTGGGATTACAAGTGCCTACCAGCATGCCTGGCTTTTTTTTTTTTTTTTTTTTTTTTTTTTTTTTTTTTT